TTTTCTTACGCAATTGATAGTGTGTGTATACACAGACGAAACACTAGCGCTCTTGCACAGACAGTCAGTTACAAAAACTAAACTTCGGAAGAAGAGTGAGAAGTACGCAATGGGAACCAGGCACGCGCAGCTCGCGGCACTGTATTTTTGAGGCGCATTGTACCACGATAACCCCCTTAAGTCTTACTTAACTATTGCACATGTAATGGATATAAAACAAAAAAGAAAAATGAGTACTGATGAAGCTTTTACATGCCCCCATTTTTCTCGCAAAATATTTTGGTGAAATAAAATTATAAATTTTGTTTTTTATAAAATCATAGAAAAATAATTATAAAACAAATTTTACATTAAATACCAAACAATTTTTTAATTAAGTTTTATATTTAATATTTCTAAAAAAATTTTTTATTAAAAAAAAATTGATTACATTCATGTTAAAATGTAAACATAACTTATGTTAAAATGTGTTAAAATGTATAAATGTATAATGTTAAAATATAATAAGTTATTTTTTATATGTATATCAAATGTTTGTAATGCAATATAATATCTTATAATGTGAAATAAAAAATTATGAACAACATAATTAATTTTTTTTACGTACATTAAGTTTCTCGATATATGAGAACAATGTACTTTAAATTTCGTACACTTTAGGTATCTCGATCTGAGATTGGTGTACAATTTAACTGTCTCATGTAGACTAATTTACTAATTTCTTTAAGAAAAATTAAAAATTTAGCACTAACATCCTGCAACGGCTCTTATCGCCATTTCATTATATTTCTCGTTTGTTAACATATGGAGCCTTTCCATTATATTAAAGTTGTTTTAATTTTTTTTTTTTTTTAATTGTTTAAAGCTATTTTTATATTAAAAAAACTATTTTGCTATGTAACCTTAATTATCATCATTCTTTCTATAGCTACTTTTAGTATATTAATTCTCTCTCTCTAATTGCATTATTTATTATAAAAATCTGTAATTTAACGCATTTATAAAAATTGTACGCAGGCACTTTTGTCGCGTATCTCTTTCATATACTCTTGATAAATTAACCACACTAAACGTTTTTTGTCCGTTTTTAATGCGGATATTTCTTTCCTAAATTTTTATTTTTGATTTATAAATTGTGTATAAAATGTTTCACTCAAATATATTTCTCAAATATTAATTTTAATTTAAATTAATTGTGTTAAAAGGAATTTTAGAAAAACCGTAATCGGAACCGAAAAAACCATTATTTAAAGGCCGGTTATTATATAATTATGCCGGTTCTTTTTTATCAACTGAAACACCAACTGAAATCAGAACAGTTATTAAATATTTTATTGTGAACCGTAAACCGAACCGAAATATCATGGGTCCGAGTTTCTGATTATAATACTATCTAAACTTTATAAAAATGTTTTTTTATCAACATATGAAAGAATCCAAAGATCAAAATAGTTATTTTTTGCGACGTGATTGTACTCTATGAAAAATGATTCTGTCGAATACTTACGTAATTTCTTACTCCGCACGGATTATTCGGTAATTGCGGCAAGATGGAAATGGCATCTGGCTGATTGCTAAAAGCAGCGTCGTATGGATTTTTAGTGAAGGGCGCTGATGTGCTGGACGACATTATTGGGATTTGGGTCGGAATCGGTATTATGTCGGAATTGTCCGGCACTAGGGGTGCAACGTTCGTAGGTTGCACTTGTTCATGAACCGGCGGTGGCATCTTAATCGGTGGTTTGGGAATAATCTTGACGGGCGGTTGCGTGACTGGTTTCTTCGGCGGTGGCACCTTTGCAATGTTCAGGAACGTTGGAAATCCCTGTTCGTCAAATCCGCCGCTATAGTTGGCCGGTAAATTGCCTGCCGGCCATGGATCTACGTAGTTTGGATCGCGGCAACACTTGCCGACTACACCGGTCTCTGGATTTCTGCAGTTCTGTAAAACGAACAATTTATAATTGTGTATAGTTCTTTTATTAATAAAATATTTTTAAAAACTTACAATTGTAAAGACGTGTCAAATTTTATCTAACATTTTCGCCAAATAAATCATCCATTAACTTTTTTTTATTTAGTTACAAAATTTTATTTTAATTTTTATTAATTAATGAAAGATTTTTATTAGTGTTAAAAAAGGACGCTTAATGTTATTTTGAATCATACATATTTTTTAATATCTTTCTAGCCCGTTGAGTGGCGCTGCCTGCAATCTCTTTTTTTTTATACACACTTTACTTACTTACCTTTGAGAATACTCGCTAACGCTGTATGAAAAAAAGGAAAATACACGTTTCTTTTGAACATCAGTTTTTGTTGCGAAATTTGCTCAATTCATCAGGTTATAGGCCCAGCGCTGATAATACCGACAAGATTGAGTGTGGTAAATAAAGAGCGAGACAAGTATTAGATAGATCGTGTTAAAGATGGCACAAGAAAACTTAAAATTTAACATTCTACTGTTAAATAGAAGAAACTACGTCTTCTGGAAGACGAAAGTTTGAGCAATTCTGGTACGTGACGACCTATGGGATGTCGTATGTGAGCCTAAGCCCGTACAGGTTAACGAAGCATGGACAAAACGTAATAATAAAGCAATAGCATATATAACTTTGAGTGTAGAAAACAACCAATTAATACATTTCGCTCACTTCGACAATGCATTTGATGTATGGCAAGCATTATCAAAAAAGTACGAAAGGTTTACATTTGATAGCAGGTTATATCTGCAAAGAAAGCTGTATGGTATACAGCTGTATGGTATATTATCGTAGTGGACCAATGAGCAATCACATTGATGCGATCATGGAGGTAGTAGGATTACTGCGCGGATCAGGAAAACCACTCGAAGATGAAGAGATTGTCGCCGTATTATTAGTCAGTCTCCCAGAACCTTATGCAGGTCTTGTAATAGCATTGGAAGGAAGAGATGAAGCAGATTTAACGATAGAGTATGTAACAGGATATGGAAAAATATTAGATGAATATCAGAGACGTGTGGAAAGCGGTGAGTCGAATGAAAATAATTCACAATAGCACTCCAATCAGTAGTTCCTAATAAAGGCAATAATCCTAATAAAAGCAAACAGGATAAGAAAATTGGCAAAAGAAATAATAAAGACACGCGAACATGTTTTTTTTGCAGTAAAATGGGTCACATTAAAGCTGACTGTTACTTTTTCAAGAGATCACTGCAGCAAAAGAACGCAGAAATAAATAAATCTTCGGCAGCCAAGGTCAATGCACAGAACAACCATATTACCTTCAATGTATGCGAAGAAGCCAAAGCGAAAGCAGTTAAGACAGGAACGTGATATATTGACTCCGGTGCAACGGAGTCATATGACGAATGAACGTAACTTCTTCTCAGTGTTACAGGATACTACTACAACGGTATTTCTTGTCGATGGTTTTTCGGTTCAGACAAGCGGAATTGGAAAAGGCCGTCTAATTTGTAAAATTTTCGACAACCGTACTCAAATAATAGAACTCAAGAATGTGCTCTACGTTCCACAACTTGATAAATTGCTCTCAGTAAAAAGAATAACGGAATTAGGCTATAGAGTAGTTTTTAAGAGAGATATCTGCATTTTTTTATCAAAGACAACGAGTAATCGCAAAAGCTGACAACAAACGACGGAAACATGTTCAAATTAAGAATAGCTGGGATGGAAGCGTCAACTCGGATTGCAAGCACAGTAACATGCATCCATCAATGGCATCGTCGCCTCGGTCATAGGAACTTGACTGCAATAAAACGATTGGTAAAAGAAGAATTAGCAATGGGAATCAAGATAACGAAATGTTTTGACGAAAAGGGGTGTTTTCCAACAAGTTACACAGATGACACAGTGTGACACTGTGTCCAACACAAACTATTCCAACAGTGACACCATGTTACACTGCTCGACACAATAAAAAGCTAAGTACAAGCGTGTAAAATGTCCCAGTTACCAACATTTTAAGAAATCTTATAATTTTAAATGATGGTAATACTTTTGATCATAACTTATAAATGTAATAATACAACGATACGAGAGAGCGAGAGTACAAGATTGAAAATTATGAAGCTCTATCTCTATAAATTTAATCTCAATGAATCATATTTTGGAAGTTAATGGTAAAATAAAACATTAAAAAATACAATACAAAATATGCCATACAAATTTTATTACTTATTATTATCAATAAAACATTTGTTACATATTTTATTATATTTTTCAGAATTCACGTGCAAACATTGTAACAACGCAATTGCTTCATTGGATCATTTTGCTAACATTACTGCTTATTGAAGTATCACTATCACTACTTATCTCAGCAGTTTTAGTCAAAGTAAATATAACCTTACGATTCATCATCTGCAATTCACATAAAAGTAAAAATAAAACAAAATTTAATCAAAATATATCCTCATTCAAAATTTGGTTAACTATAAAAATTAATTACAATAATTTTTTGTTATTACAGTAATGTCAATCTCTTCTAATTTTGTTGTTACAATAATTACAATAATGTCAATTCCTCCTAGTAATAAAAATGGAGAACTATAATGCCCTCTACTGAGATTTTCAGAAATTAGATTTACACTTTATCGTTCCAACAAAAGTTTCACACGGTGTAACACAGTGCAATTTAGCGTGTTCTAGTTGGAAAACACCCAAGATTTGCAAACATTGTATTAAAGCAAAATTGGCCCACACAAAATTTACGAAAAGTAAACGAAGAGAGAAGGAACCGTTAAGACTTATTCACTCGGACTTATGTGGACCGATACAAACAGCGACTCCAAGCGGTAATAGATCTTTTCTTACTTTTATCGACGACTATTTTCGTTTTACATCTTTCGACTTTAATACGTCTATTAAAGTCGAAAAATAAGATTCTGGATGTCATAAAAAAGTATATTGCTGCAATGTCTGCAATGTCTAAAGTTTGGTAAGAAATCTGCTGCAATACGGACAGATAACGGCAGAAAGTATATGTCGTCCGAATTATCAAAATATTTACAGAAAGAAGGAATACAACATCAGTTGACAGTTGTGTATACACCCCAGCAGAACGGCGTCGCAGAACGGAAGAATAGATCTCTAACAGAAACTGCTAAGTGCATGCTTTTGGATGCAAGTCTGGACAACCGTTTTTGGGGAGAAGCAGTCTTAACCGCTACATATTGCAAAACCGGATGACGCATCGAAGCATTAATAAAACTTCGAATTATTTACTGGAGAAAAACCAGATATCTGCCACATTAGAGTATCTAGGTCAAAAATCTATTCACTTGTCCCTGAACAAAAACGCAGAAAATGGAATAACAAGACTGAAGAAGGCGTGCTTGTAGGTTACGATGGAAACACCAAGGGTTATCGAATCCAAATATAAATTGGGTTTGGATAAGCTGTTCTATGAAAATAATAGAACATGATTTTAATAATTCTAGTTTGTGTTAAAAACCACAAGGAGAAGGGGCAGAACCCAATGAAAGAAAATCGATCGATTATGAGATGTCAAAATCAATCCATGAGGAAATATCATAAAAAGAAACGGAAAATAACGCGACTGAAGAATATTCAATCAAGGAATCAGAATCATGGACAAAAATGCTACAACTACCATTACGAGAAAGGCAGCAGTGAATTGCTGCAGCTGAGGAAGAAATGAAGTCTCTCAAAGGGCATGAAGTGTGGGAGTTGACTGATCTTCCTCCAGGAAAGAAGGCTATTACGTGCAAATGGGTTTTCAAGACCAAATTAAATAGTGAGGGTAAAGTCCATACTTACAAAGCTCGTCTGGTAGCTAGAGGTTTTTCTCAATCCCATGGAGAAGACTACGATGAAACTTTTGCACCAGTAATTAAACATGAAACTATTCGTGTTTTACTTCTTATAGCAGCCCATAAAGATTTGCATGTGCGTCACTTGGATATAAAGAACGCATATTTGAATGGAAAACTTGAAGAAGAGATTTTCTTAGAACAGCCACCAGATTTGCAAAAATATGAACACGAATCTAAGGTTTTGAGATTACGGAAAAGTCTCTATGATTTCAAACAATCTGCACGCGCATGGAATAAAAGGCTACCGAAGCGCTTTCTTAGATAGGTTTCCAATCCGAAAAGGCTGACCAGTGTTTGTATACAAGGAAAGAAAAAAACAATAGTACGACTTACATACTGCTCTATATTGATGATCTCTTGGTGGCAGGCGCATCCGCAGAGGTGACTTAGAGAGTGAGTAGAAATCTACAAAATTATTTTAATGTCAAAGATCTAAGAGACGTCAATTATTATTTGGGCATACAGATAAAACGCGAAGCAGATGGTTTGTTTTTATTTAACCAGAAAGGAAAGATTGCCAAGATTTTGGAAGAATATGGTTTATTGAAGTCAAAACCTGCGGTTAAACCGATGAAAACAGGTTTTTTTAAGTTCAGGAGCAAATGATAGTAAGAAACCATCGCAAAATACTCAATACAGACAAGCTATTGGATCGCTGTTGTATATACAGCAATTGTATCTAGGCCTGACATTGCAATGGCTGTGGGAATTCTGAGTCGTTTTGTAGAAAGTCCTACGGAATGATATTGGAAGACAATCAAGCAAGTAATACGTTACCTCGTATCAACCATAGACAAGAATCTACGATTGTCTTCATCTAGCGCAGGCCTGGCCAAAAGCTTGCTCGCGAGCAGCCTTCAGAGTCCGCTGGATGGGGACTCGGTCCCCACTATCTCGCCGTCCCCACTTTTGTTTGTTCGCTATCTTT